GGAGACTATACACATCTTCTATTTGCCTTTTGTACTTTTTTCCTTCAAATTTTTCTGCAGTTCACTTGGATTGCTATCATCAATTGTGACATTTGAAGCATTTGTTGTTGCTAAAGAGTTCAATGCAAAGATAATTTCAAAATGATATTCTGGAGGGTTTTGTTGTTTGTGTGTGACTTTCAAATAGAACTGTACTTCATTTTCACTTTCCATTTTCATGACTTTGTCGATTTCTACATCTGATTCCTGTAATAGAAGTAACGTCTTAGAAAATTAAATGTTAAAGTACTAAAATAAATAATATTAAATAATGTTGGAATTTTAATTTCACCTTTTGAAAATGGTTCATTACATCGCTTTCAGTAACTTCCAATAATTTTTCTGCCGTATCGTCGATAATGGTTGCATCCAACCATCTAGATGTGTCTTCGAGATGAATGAAAGCATTCACTCTGTGAATTATTTTTTTGCAAAACATAGCATGTATTATGTAGTTTTTAAATAAGCATTAATATGAAGTAAAAATTTAATATATATTTAATAGTGCAAGCTACCTTGGAACAACTTTTGCATGTTCGCATTTGCAAAATTGACATTTATAAATTTCTCCAAAATCTATGTTGGATGTTTTCTTACAGTTGTTGCAAGCCAAATACCAAAACTTTTGATTTTTGGAAATGATTTTCCAATGTGTTTTGAGCCAATAAAATTTTTTCTGGAAAAAAATATTTAGTTATATTCAACAAATAGTAAATGGATATAATATCCATTAATAATATTTTAGTATAGAATACGAAAAAAATTTATGTTACTTTTATATTAAATAAAAATATATTACCGCTAAATACACTCCCAGTAAATCTGCAATTGGCGTGATTTTGTCTTGAGTTGGAGGCGATAGTTTCCATGGGCTTACGACGACAAATGACTTATTTTCTGTAAGCTTGTCAAATTTTTCTTTGTTAACCTCCATCCTATAAGAAAACAAATATAAAAATAGTAAAAAAAAATTATTGTGTTAATTTTTTTTATTAATGAAACGTAGTTATTATTTTGAGCATCCGTTTCTATAGTCTGCAACAGCTAATAGATCAAAATTAATGAAGATAGTGCTATTGACTTTGGTTGAAAAGGTGATGCCTGCAGAACCAAAAAAAAAAAATAATTAGTATATAATTGCAATTTGTGAATGTTTGAAATCAATAAGTATGCATGATTATACCATTGAATGAAGACACATTAAGATTAGTAGCCCATATAATGGGTCTTTGTGCAAGATTTTCAACAATTGTAACACATTCTCGATCTACGAAACTATCTCATAAGGTTAGAATCACTATTTGGTATTGTTTGTCCATCAATATAACATCCTGAAAAGTAGCTTGTGTACCAAAATGAGTTTGGATAATTCGTTTTTGTTTAATGTCTACAGCTATACCTGTAACACCTACAAAAAATATTTTCCTTTATATATATCTTGCATTTAGTTAATTTGAAGACAATCATAAGATAACTGTGGAATGTGATAATTAAGTGATGTATTAGAAATTTTACTGATGTTGATATTTTTATCCATGTGTTGTTCTAATTCATCAAACGGAGTAAGTTGATACTATGAGAAGACAAAGTTTAAGTCATTCTCATGTAACTCTTCAATTTTTGTTCTTCCTGTGATCGTCCACACTTTTTCATCGTTTGAGCTTTTAAACTCACTTTTGTTATCTTTCACTGTTGCATTCAAGATGACATATGTTTTTTCCAGGTCCAACTGATCGTTAAGTGCAGTAATATTTGTTTCATACAGTGTTAATGTAACTTGGTAACCCTGTTTAACATTAGTACAGTTGAAAATAGTTATAAAATATACAGGTATAATAAAAGTTTAAAATTATGAAAAATATTATTACTTATGTAATTATAAATCCATGAGGACAATATTCTGGTATCTGTTAGTCGAACTTCGAGCAATCTTAGGCGATTGTTTTCCTATAATGACTAATTTTACAGACCAATTCATTTATGAAGTTCCAATTTGTGGGATTAGTTTATATGATGTAGCCATCTTTGATATCTGTCAATAAGAACAAGAAAAGCTCGAGTAAAAATAGTTATAAAAATGAAAAGGAATTTTTTTTCCAGGAAATGGAAAAAATACCGAAAATGTTTGTTTTCAATTGTTGGTAAGTAGAAATGAGATGAAATATGTGAAGAAACTTGGAGTAGAAAGGTATGGTATTTTTAAAACATCTACAAGAGATATTTAATGGATATTTTGAATTTTTTAATATATAATTTAGGCACAGGAGATATAAAGGTAAAGTATACTACGTGAACTATATGTTGGAAGGATAAATTTAAAAGTAATTATAGCATGTGTCAGTTGAAAACAGTTGAAAAATGAAAAATATCTATTATCAGATAAGATATACTTGTCTATTCATCATTTAATACAACTTGTACTTGTGTATATTATAAAAAAAATCTGCTATTAAATATGTAATTTTGTTATACGTAAATTTTTAAAGTAATAATTATAGTAATGAAATAAAAAAAATTGCTAACTTAGTTAAATTTTTTACATAGTTGTTTTGTTTTTGTTTATCTATATTTTATATTTATTAATATTAAATTTCTAAATATGAATATTTGTAAATTGTAACTACATATAATTAAATGTATGAAACGTTTTAAAAAGTACAATTTAAAATTTTATATAACTAAAATATGTAAAAATGTAATTGTTATCATCATTTGACATAGAGGTTTTACTTTTGAATTCTTAATTCAATTATTATTATTCAATTAAAGTAATAGATAATACAAAAGAAATATCTAGAAATAAATATTGTAAGTATTACATTTTCATATAGTTGAAATGTATGGGCTTGTCTTTTTTTTTTTAAGGAAATATTAATATGCTTGATTGTTTTATAAGCTAAAGAATTTAAAGAATGTTAATAAAATCATTGTATGTTTTGCTGTTGTGATGGTATAGAAAAAATTCGAATAATAGTAAAAATAGTTCTATATATCATTGTAGTCATTATACAAGAACTCCTTAGTACTTTGGAGTATATACATTGTGGAATAAAAAGAAGACATCAAAATTTGTAAAAAAAAACTTTTCTATGTTCAAAACATGAATAGATTATTTAATGTAGTACTAACTAAAACATAAGGCCAAGATAATCGTTATCATTACTGAGCCAAAATCAAGAAGGGTATATATTTATGCCCATCTCGAGTCATTTTCTTGTTTCCTTAACAATTGCTAATTGATGACCTGCAAAAATTCACAACAATGAATTACTAACATAGTTGAATGATGAGGCATTCATGCTAAAATTTCTTTAAAGTAAAGGATGGCACGCTAAATATATAGCGAATTTGCGTTCTATCTAACTTTGCTAATTAGTGGAAAAGATTAGTCCTAAATAAGATTGGATATGGAAAACGTGCGTAATTTAGTTTCCCAATAATAAAAAATTATTGCAACCATTAATATTAATTGTGCAACTATAAATGGTACACTTACCATTTTGCTTTGACACAATATAAGAACTACACATGTAGCCTGTTGTTAAATGAGATACTGACTCATAGAGTGTAATGAAGTATACAGCAGCATCAAGCTTTAGTTTCTTTTTCACAAGTTATGAATATATTCTTTTATGTCTCCACCAATTCACAAGAATGTATGAAATCTGTAACAATCAAGAAATATTAGGGAACATATTTTGTTTAGGGAATCTAATTGACATTGTCTAAATGCAAAAGAAAACTATTCGCAAATATGCAACCAATATCCTACACTTTGAAGTACAAATGCAAATAGAAGAGAAAATTCATACGTGCGGCTATTTACTTGAGGGGGAGCGTTCCCCCTACCAATATTTTTGACAAATAGTTTTGACAAACAATCACACCCTTAATTTAAGTTAATCCAAAGGTTTAGACGATTTAATTATAATCATTTGAAATATAAAAATGGGCCATCCCACAACCCACGCCCACCCCATCCCCCCACTTCCCGTAATCTATGCTTCTCATATCCTTTCCCTATCCCTCTTTCACTCTCTCTTCACATTGAAAATTTCCCTATATTTACACGGACAGATTCTTGAAAACCAAATACAAATTCTTCCCTCATTCATTTTCTCCTGCTGACGCCCGTCGTCCTCAAGAAGAATTAGTTCTTCCAAGTTCTTGAAATGGCCATTTTTCATTTATATCCATTATTAACATAAACTATTAAAGAAAAAAAATAGATGGTTGTTGTAGAGAAAAGGGAATGATATACTAACACAGAAAACTAATAGAAAACCAAGTTAGAATTCAATAAAACTGTTGAAGATTTGATTGATAACGTTACCGCAAGCGCAGTGTCAAACGATGATTACACGGTGGCGGCATTTAAGGGTGTTTGTAGTTTGGTGGTTATTTGAGACATCGAAAGGGCTAAGAATCCGGCTATTATGCTCACAGGCTTTAATTTCTAACTTGTAGTCAGTTATTATTTTTGTATATAGTCATGGCTTCTGAATTTATAATCCTTTCGTACTAATATTTCTAATCGTTGAATCATCTGTTATAGCAGTGGAGATGACAGAGTATAAAGAATTGCAATATCCTTCAAAACCTATTTTCAAACTCATCATGACTGCAACCATTAAATTATCCCCAAGTGATCAACTTGTATATGTGAATTGAAAGTTGAATTGTTTAGATTGTAGCGTTGGACTCTAGTTGCAGGGTATGATGAGTATCTCTCTAGCACCTTATGCATTTCCCTTGCAATGGAACGTCCACTCTCAGATCATTCTTATGCTCAAGTAGCTAAATTTTTTGACAAAGGCAGATGGAATCTCACAAAATTAGTTGCATGCTTAATTGAATCAATCTTTTACAAGACATGAATATCTCAGTAAAAGAGTTGGGACAGGGTACTATAAGATGCAAGAACTCGGTAAAAAATGAGAGCACTCTTTTCGGTTTACCATGCAAATTTCATGGTGCTATTGTGCATCAAGTATCTTGGTTTACACTGATTGAGCACTAAAATTTACATCAATAATATATTAATTATATTGAGCAATAAAACAATTCTTTCATGACAACAGGACTTTGCTAGTCAGTTCTATAAAGATTAAAATAAAGACTAAAATGAATTAAACCAACAAGGTTTACTATCCAACCCTATTAAGAGAGCTTAAATTAAAGAAAGAAAAATAAACATTTCTTTTCTTGATTCATAGTCAACTAAAGAGTGGTAGAATGCATAAACTTAAATCTTCATAAGCATTTTTTGCCCAACTTGAAATTCACAGATAAGTCCGAATTTGAATCCTACAAGAAAAAATAATAACAGGTATTAGTACGCATAAAAATTACATATTAATGAAAATTGATTTACAATCGAAATAAGAAAAACATAAAAAAGACTTACATGTTATGATTGTTTGGACAATGAGTAGATCATTTCCATTTTTCTTTGGCTTCTCAGGACATATCCTCTTGTCATGGCCTAATCCTTTGCATAATGCACATTTACGCCTTTTATTTTTCTGTACCAACTCAATACTTGATTTGAACCTTCTTGAACCAGTGTGATCTTTTTGTTGACATTTTTCATCCTTCTTCCGTCCTTCCATCATTGAAACATTGGGATCTGATAGCACAAATTGAAAACTCTCCTCGTTACAAATATTTAATTCCTCTGGAGAAGTATCAAGAAGAGTCCTTGTTTTAATATTTAAGCTATAAATCTGCTCAGATACTTCTTCAATGGCTTTGATAAATAATTGGTATCCCTCATTTGTTTCGGCAGCATGACAAGCTAATTGAGTTGCTTTCCTACACATATGACCAAGTCTTAATGGCTTTGTATGTTGCTCATCATCAGTAATCACAATTTTTTCTGAATTTGTACTCCTAAATTTATTAGCTCCTTGCATCCACCTCTTTTTTATAAAGTGAGAAGGAAGTTCATCAACATCTTCACAAATAAGAACTTTGAGAATATGCCCACTAATTATTCCATCAAACTCGAAATGTTGGCATTCACATTTTCCTTCATGATTCTGCAAATCAAAGTTTACTTGAAACATATCAAATGCTTTTTCTTTATGTTTTACTATGTAAGTCCCCAAATCTTAATTCACATCTTCAACCTTATAATCCTTGACTTTCTTCCATTCATCTTTGAACTTTTGAAAAATATTCCTAGTATATACTTTTTATGCATGCTTTAGAAGTAAGGCATCATCATTTACAATACGATACTTGTGTTCTAATTCAATGTCCTCATCATTCTCCCTATTTACAATTGAAGCTAAAGCTCGATCATATTTGATTTAGATTAGTTCAAGAAGTAAAAAAAAAAAACTATTAAGAAATGAGTTAATACCTTCACTACGGCTTGTAGTATTCATACCCGCAAAAAATAATCCACGATTATACACTGGAACCCAACTTTCACGTATTATGTATAAGTCTTGAAGCCATTTGTTACTATTCAAATCATACTTCACTATTATATCCTCCCATTTTTCCTCAAAATCTTCCACTTTATACGTATAATAAATGCAACCTTTCATATCTTTCTTGAAATTTGACTTCTTGTAATATATATGTGACAATTTTTCACCAAACTTTTTCATGATGTGCCAAAGACATAAACGATAATGTGTGTAGGGAAGAACCTTAGCAATACCCGCCTTCATAGCTGGATATTGGTTAGTTATGATACAAGTAGGATTGCATCCTCCCATAGCATCAAGCCATGTTTGAAATAACCACATAAATGTTACCTCCGTTTCATCTTGTAATAATGCACAACCAAATTGTATGGATTGAGAATGATGGTTCACACCAGTAAATGGAGCAAATGGCATATCATATTTATTTGTCCTATAGGTCGTGTCAAAGGTGACAACGTCACCAAAACATTGATATGACATACGAGACCTTGCATCAACCCAAAAGAAATTAGTTGCTCTTCCATCTTCATTTCATTGTATCGCATAATAAAATTGTGGATTCTCAGCTTGTTTCTTTTGAAAATATGTGAGGACAGATTGTGCATCACCAACTTCTAACTCGTTACGCCTTATACACCTTAAGTGGTTATAGCAATCCCTCCCATCAAAACCAATGTTGTCACCTCCAAGAATTGAGGCAACCTTGACAACTTTTATATTTTCATTTTTGAATGCTTCAGAAAGATTTTTTGCTGATTCAGGCATGCTCCTATTTGATCTCATTTTCATTATTTTAAGTGGAGAAACAAATTTATGATTGTGATGATCTTCGAATGCTTTCACAATCCAATAGCCACCTTCAATGTCATGCGAGATTCACATGTTAGCTTTACACCCACCTCTAGCTGTTGAACAACATCTTTTTGTAGACTCATCCTTTTCACAATTCTCTATTGCTCTTGATTCCCCGACAACCTTCCTATTATATTTGCCTTCATGTGAACACATATTTAATAAAGGTGACTTCATTTATACGTGGACGTGACTTCATAGTTGTTCGAGTTTGAATCCAAAAACCATTTTGTCGTCCAAAATCCTCTTAATAAGCTCTTGCTTCTTCTGATGTCTTAAATTTCATCCCGACATAAGGTGCTTGGCCTTGTATTGATGATGACCCAATCTCATTAGGTTGAAACATAGGTGTAAAAGAATCACAACTAGTTGTATCCATCTACAATCCCACTTTTCAGGTAGGGACAAAAAAAAATATACATGTCAAAATGATAACAACTTATTTGATACAAATTAATACAGGTCAAAAAATTACTTTAACTCCATTTGTTATCTCTTACATAATGTAACATTCAGAAATGTAGAAGCTCTTGATCTTTACCAGTTATATCTGTCTAAAGAATAAGTTGTATACATGAATCAAACATTCCACAATATTTTACGGTCAAAATGTATTTTTATTGAACTTGCCGACTTACATTGTCAAATCCAGCAATGTTCTTGTCATCCGCAAAAAATATCAATCAGTCGAATATTCTGCAATAATAAAAATAAAATAAAATCCATAAATACAAAATGAATTTGGATACAAAAATTATAGATCTAATTTGGGATTTATGAAGTTATAATAGTTCAATCGATAATAACACAAATGACGATACAAATGGAATTTTGATTTAACAAATTGTGGGATGTAAATGGATTGCCATTTCAAGAACCTGGAAGAACTAATTCTTCTTGAGGAGGACAGGCGTCGGTAGGAGAAAATGAATGAGGGAAGAATTTGTACTGGGTTTTCAAGAATCCGTCCGTGTAAATATATGGAAATTTTCAATGTGAAGAGAGAGTGAAAGAGGGATAGGGAAAGGATATGAAAGCATAGATTACGGGAAGTGAGGGGATGGGGTGGGCGTGGGAGTAGGTCGTGGGGTGGCCCGTTTTTATATTTCAAATGATTATAATTAAATCGTCTAAACCTTTGGATTAACTTAAATTAAGGGTTGGGATTGTTTGTCAAAATTATTTGTCAAAAATATTGGTAGGGGGAACGCTCCCCTTACTTGAGTATGTTAATTTATCTTTCTTTGAAGTAAATAAAAAGTTCTATTACAAATGAAATAAATATGTGGATAAAAGAATACGTATAGTCTTACTTTATAAATAGTAAAATTTTTTGGAAAACATAAAACCTCGAAAACATTTAATTTTTTGTTTGATTAATGTTTATACATATGCATCATGATTCATTTCTCTAAAATAAATGCAAAAATACATTTCGAAAAAAGAAAAAATTCTTGTCTTAAAAATTAAATATCAATTTGATTACTTAGAAGGATAAGATAAGAGAGAAAGATAGACACTTACAGAAATGATAATACAAACTGACACCCAAAACATTATGAAGATACGTAATGGTATATCAAAAGTTTTAGCAACACGAGCATGTGATATTTTGAATATGGAAAACATATGTTAACAAATATAAGACTTTGAAAATAATGTAATGCAAATAAGAAAGCTTATTATTCAATTCTCTTTCTTGAGTTGTAAGTCACAAATTCTTGTAAAATGATTCTACTATAGACTAAATTTTATTAAAAAATAAACTTATTGAAAATTTATTATTTAAATACATTAACATTACAATTACTAACCATAAGTAGAGGGATTTGCAATAATAGGCTGAACTTTGAAAAATTCATTGTTCTCACATTTGGTTTTGTGCATGTTGGACTACTCAAAATATAATAAAGCACAATCCTCTAAATCTACACACAAAATTCTTACTTTTCTTCTCAGAATGAATTAATTTCTCAAAACTCTACAAAACAAAACTTGAAAGAGTCGCAGCCGTCAGTACTTTTCAACAAAAAAAATCGATTTAGCGATAAAATCAAACGATAAAAAATCCAAAAATTCATGAAACAGAAGAACATGAGAAGATTTTCGAATATTTTTGAATGGAAAGAGATCAAAGAAGCATGTCAAAAGTAAAAAACGTGCCTTCTGTGGATGGAATTCTTTTAGGAGTTGCAACACTTTCATCTCTTATACTAACAAATTTGAAAAATGCCCGACCTTTCATTTAAGAACGATAATTAGCTTATTGTTTTGAATAGACAAACATTGGTTTATATATTAATATAAGACAACACTGGGAAATAGTTACCAAAACTATGCAATCGAAGTCTAATGAGTAGCAGAAAGAATTAATTTTAAGCAATTTAAATAATCATAGTAGGCTACATAATAGTATGTCTTTTTCATAAGCTCTAATACATTTTGCAACCAGTGACGTCACCTATTCACTGAGGAAAAAGTAGTAAAACAATAAATACTAAATTAGAGAATATCAATTTAAATTTTAAGCATTTTAAATCAATTTACAAATAAAGCATTTGATTTCATCATTATCATATAACTTGAGAATTATATAAAAAGTTATAACCCATACGGCATTGCATCATCATATAAGAATGTTTTAATAATATAAAATTACCGACACTACGTATTGAGTAAATTGTTCACTCTACCTATTTAGAAGAAAAGTCTTCTTAAGAAAAGTATCGTACTCACCAATAAATACAAATAGTAATATATTTTTCAATTTATTAGTAAAAGAAATACGAAGACATGAACAAAAATAGACAAACTATTAAATGACTAATTGCCTAATTTCTTTTAATGAGCATGATTAAGTTTATGACCAACTTTAGTTTTCTATTAATCCTAAGAAATGATCCGAAAATATGCTTGACAATTAAAAATAAATAAGAAGGGACTTCCATGTTTGTAACTTTCACCATTACAAGGAATAAAAAGAGAGGAATGTGATTAAGCTTGTTAAGAAGTTAATTAAAATTAATCTTTCTTCATCCTTTATCATACAAATATAAACTATATTTGATGGATGACATATTTGCTGATACTAAGATGAAAATGTAAGTTAGCAATCACTTGTTATTGCAGGTAAAATTTTCCATCTTTAAATAAACAATAAGAAAAAAAAGCATAAAGTGGTTGAAATTGTAGTAAAAACCGATAAAGAAAAAAAAAGCAACATAAAAGAAAAGCATATCAAACGAAAGTCATTTATATAAATGACGCTAAATATTTAGTTAACCCTCTTGAATTTAAGATAGATTTCAAACCAATTAACGAAAGATGTAAAATCTAGATATTCAATCTTTACAACTTATATAAAAACAACGAAACTAATGGATAATAATAAACTACATTGAATTTTAAAACAAAAGTAAACACATACATATGAAAAGATTGTAGTTTTATGAATATATAAATGAAAAAAAAAAATTATACACTATATTCTTAGTGCATGCGTTGTGTCAATTGTCTGCATTTAACAATTTGAGTAAAATTTTCAAAGATTTACTTGTTTTTGCTCTCGATAATGCTACATATAGTTGTCCATGGCAAAAAACTGGTTCTGGAAGGTATAAACCAACAAAATTTAAGATTTGGCCTTGTGCTTTATTTATTGTCATTGCAAAGTAAGGTCTAATTGGGAATTGAGTCCTCTCAAATTGAATTGAATTTCGATCATTTTGAAGAGGTACAAAGGGAATCCTTGGTAAGAACACATATTTTCCATGATATGCACCAACTGTGATTTCAGCCAAAATTACATTTCTATTAAACTTCCGACAAGTAAGGCATGTCCCATTACATAAACCTTCAGAATGATTAATATTCTGTAATAATATTATTGGACAATTTACCTTAAGTTTCAATTTATGTGGTGGAATACCATTTGGTATCAAACTATTCAAAAAATCTTCCTGCAAACTCTGTTCTGATTTGTCAATTGCTTCATCAAAACTATAGTATGTCAAAAATTTCACCGGGAATTTGATCGAGCAAAATTTTGTTTATATAGTCAACACATTTATTTTTAGGAGTAAGAATAACTCTGTTTATCATGTCATGTAAATTATCAGTATATGCTTCTATATTTGAAAAAACATGATGTATCAAATTTTTTAAAGATGTAATTTCATCTTCAAATGGTAAAATTATACTATTTAAAAGTTGAATGCAATCACAATTGTGTTCTTTTTCTGTCTCATCTCCAATTCAAAGTAAGTAATCGCAAAATACAGGATCTAATTTTGCTCTTATATTTCCAACTAAAGGTAGTTGTAAATATAAAGGCCATAAATCTGAGAAAACTAAGCTAGTCTTCATTATGTCTTCTTTTTTCCCTCTTGGTACTACTGGTAGAACCTGTCGAAAATCTTCTCCAAGAATTATGACTTTCCCACCAAAAGGCAAGTCACAATCGGTAACATCTCTAAACATTTTCTCTACAGCTTCAATAGCATGACGGTTTACCATGGGTGCTTCATCCCAAATTATTAGCTTACACATTTTTAATAAAGTCCCAAAGTCGATTGCTTAGTAACAGAACGGTTAACTTCACCAACTATTTCTAAAGAAATTTTAAATCTCGAATGAGTTGTTCGACCTCCAGGTAAAAGAGATGCAGATACTCCAGAGGACGCTGTTGCTAAAGCAATTAAATTTTGAGATCTTATGCCAGCTAAAAGTGCTTTGTATAAAAAAGTTTTCCCTGTCCCCCCAAGCCATCAATGAAAAAAACACCACTTGATTCAGTTTTTACTTTTTCCATTATTGTATCGTATGCAATTTGTTGTTCCTTATTTAACATTGTCGCACAAGCAAGGCCTCCTTCAACATCAAAATTCATCATTTCTTCTACAACCATTCGATTCAATCTCTCAGCTTCATCTATATCTACAGGGAATGGCACTATTCCATAGTCATTGATAGCTTTACCTATATGTTCTAAAATTAAACTAATATCTTCCAAAGCTCGCATTTCAGATATTTCCAAACATATATTTTGATATACATAATCGTCAATCATGTAGGCTTTAAATTTATCCCATAATAACTTTGGATTATCAAGATTACAAAGCGTAAGCATTATAGCAAAATAACGTCTTAAAGAACCAGGCATTTCATATTCAATAGCTTCAGATAAACATTCTTCACAACGATTGTCTCCCTTTAAAAAACCATGTGAAAGTGCTACTTCTTGATATGTAGCATAAGTTACCCCATTCAAAATTTTTAAATCATCAAATGATGTTGGCCCTTTAATGTGATTAGGAAGAATTCGAAGAAAATATCTCTCTCCTTCACTTGGATTCACGATGACAATTCATCCTATAACAAGTTGTTGCTTTCTAGGAGTCCAAATTATCTTATATGCATTCCAGACAAAATGTTCTGAAAAATCTTTATACAACAATGTTCGAGCAAATTCGTTTATTTTATTTATTCGAAAAAATTCAGTTAACATAGGTTTCCTCATATTTTCATTGTTAAAAATACTACATAAATCAACTTCATCAGTGTATCTCACTTGTTGATGATCTTCAATGTGAAGTTGTAAAGAATAAACAATTGGATAAATTTCTGATAAGTTGAAAGAAAAAATTCTCCACATAGTTTCAGGTGGAGATATCCATCTAGCAGATTGATAAGTAGAAATTTCATCAACTTCCATATTTTCATTTTTCCCAACAAAAAAATTAATACGATCATGTTCTTTATATACATATTTATACAAATATTTTACAACTTTAATAGATAAACATACTTCAACGTTAATGTGACAGTCAAATTTTGCACTTAAATTAAGGATTATATGGAACAACCCATCGATTATCTAACATGTGACCTCTAACTTTAATAAAAATACCATTATTACGACGTTTATACAATGGATATGAGTTATCACCAAATATAGTAGTGTTACAGTAATCTCTAGGATATTTATTTATACAACCAGTAGTTTTTAGCATACATACATTCTTTGGATTAAGATTTCCACATGGATCATGCATATTATGTTTTATAATAACAGAATAAAGATGAGAATACTTATTTTCATCAAGAATTTCACAAGATACTATTTTGTCAACTTGCTCAGCACATACAATGGGCACAATTAAAAATCAATAACAAATGCACATGAGAGAGCCCTCTTTTTTGGAATTCAACCGTATATATATAAGCAACAACAGGGCCTAAGATATTTTCTTTACATAAATCATTTTTTAACTCCTCTAATTTTGCTCTAAATGTACGTGCAATTAAATCTGGTCGATTTTGAATTTCATCATTTTATTTTAGTTCTTGCTTAATTTCAGGCCAATTTGGATTGCATTTTATAGTTACAAATATATCTGGTTTTCCAAAACGTTGAACAATAGTCATCGCATCTAAGTATCTTCTTAACACATCTCTAGGACCAAAACAAATTTCTTTCCAATCTTGTATCCTCTTGTTTCCCCATTTTGAACACTATCCACAATACCTTAATAGAGTTCCGCACGAATTTGTTTCTGATTCTTTCGAAAATAATCTAACCTGACAGTTTTAATCTTAACGTATATATCTACAACATACTATTGAAAAAGTCTACCAGTATAAAGTAATACAAACTTACCAGAATGCCTAATTTGTAACTTGTATGAATAGTATTCACGACAAAAAACCTGAGATCGTTTCTTTGTTTCATTAAGCACTGCATGAGAAAAATAGAAAGAAATTCATATTAAGTAACAGGGACATTGTAAAAATTAAAAACTATACGAAAAATTATATGAACAAACCTGTAGCCTCTTTTTCAATAATTTCAATTTCAGAATTTATTGCGTTAGGAATCGCAACACAATCGACCAAATTACGAGGCTGAACATTTAATTTTTTGCATCTTTGTATGCCTTCATGCTATCCAAATTCTTCTAATGGGAAAATTAAAGGATATTGTAAAGGATCATAACAATCATAATAATAATGAACTCTATAAGAATCACCAAAATGAGCATATATAATAATATCACAAACTCGAGTATTTGTATTTTCATTATCCTCAACCTATACAACAGCTACTTGAGATGCTGAAAGAGTATTAAAAACTCTCTTATCAATTCCTGTGTCACATCTTATTTGTATACGATGATTGTGCAGGCTTGTCATATCATTTAAGGACCTAAAAAATTTACTATATGGATTTGCTTTCAAGATTTCAAATAAAATAATCACAATAGATTCAACTATATTTTCTGAAATTTTCATGCAATTTTGAAGCTCATTTTCCGTGTCATAAAAATATAACTGCATATAAAAAAGAGTATTATTTTCTGGCATAAATTTATTTACATAATGATATACTTGTCTTTGAAATCTAAATGTGTAAATACCTTTATATGTTTGAAAAAGTTCTTTATCATACTTCACACCAAATGAAGTAAACGCAAAGTGATTATTATATCCACGTGACAGCTTTTTGAATTCTATACATGTAGGCTCTTTTGAAGTAAATAAATCATATAATTCAGTTGGCGAATCTGGTATAAATAGTTTAAATTTTCCATCAGAACAACAAAAATCTTTACTTTCCCTATAGAATTTATGTGCACCACAATGTTTATAATAACTGCATGTCGGTAATACATAAGCAATAGTTGGTATATTTAACAAATTAACAGTTCCTTGTAGTTCAGAAAGACGAACATTTGTCGATTTTTCATTCGAAGTAGAAGCATCAGATTCAAAACATATTATATGTTGATGAACTTGAGTAGCACCTAGATTATGATTTTCAGATACTCTAGGATCGCTTACTCTTCTACGTCGATCAATGCGCACAGTCCGATTTCGATTCCTCCTGTCAGCCTGTCTTTGACTTTTTTGTTGACGAATGAAAGCATTATATGATTCACTTATGCTTTCGTGAACGCTTTCAATGTTACAAAAACCAGGTAATTGATTTGCAGATGGATCGAAAGAATCCATAGGGACAACAAAATGCTCGTGCCTAGTACTAAACTAACCATAAATACAACTTAATGAAAACCACATTAAATACATGCATTTGAATTAGAAATCACAAATAAATATTACACAAAAATTATAATATATTTATTTTGACAAAATAAATTCTATACAGCAATACATCACAATTTTCCACATAATCTTAAACTCTCTACATTTGTTCTTCGTTTCCTATAGGAGAAAAATATACAATCGTCGAACATACATAAAATAAAAATATAGAAATTTTACCACAACAACAAATGACTGCAAAATTAACAAAAATTGTCAAGTTGAAGTGTGTAGTATATATACATATAAAAATATTTAAGTAATTACATACATTTCATGTTATATGTACACATAGGAAGAACGAGAAGAGCTCATTTGTATAAATGATTTGCTATGCTTAAATGCAATGAGCCTAAAATTTTAGTTAACAAAAATTGTAAGTTTTCTTCCTTTGATTGTATTTTTTGGAGAAAAATTCGTGAAAGTTAATTTGTAAGTAAAAAAATGAGCTGGTTTTTCTTGTATATATATTTTAAAATTTTTCCCTAATATTCATTTGGCCTTTTTTGAATAATAGCTTAACATATGAATATTTTAAGTAAAAATAGTGTTCAACTAACAAATATGATACAATAGTGAAATGCATTTATAAAATCTCATTTCCTAATAAACTCCCATGCCATTTTTGAATTAAATGAAGCAATTAAGAATCATAATTTGTAAAAAAATTGAATTGAAATATGGATTAAATCATAACTTGTTCCAATTATAAAGCCAGTTTAAGCCATCAAATGTAGAAATTAGAAAAAATATCTTCAATATTAAAGGAGAATGGAGTCAGATATCTATGGAGTTTACTTTTTTTATGTTTCTTTTTAGTGTTTATTTAATGTTTTCAATGTAGAAATTTTATTCTAGATTACCAGCATTTCCTACTATTCCTTCTCCTCAATCCATTATTACCTTGTATCCTTTCTCATTGCCAACTTCTTCCTAAAATTGTCCTTCAAAATGACTATTGCATTTTTTGTTGATGAAGAAAGTACTTGATGACTGCTTTTGCAATTCTATGATTCCATATATTTTATCTAATGTATATTCCTTTTACGTTTTAGTCATTTCCTTTTCCAAGTTTGTTAAGGGATGCACACAACATGATAGTACTGAGCTTGATAATCGTGTGCCAAATTTCAGATAGTTGAAACTATTCTATGAAATCATTTTTGCTTAGATCATATTTGGTAAGAATATAAAAAAAAATGATAGATCATGATTGAGCAGCAACGCTTGGATGTGCCTTAGAGTGATTGGATTCAAAATGAAAGAGAAAGGTAAGAAGAGAAGAAGTAGCAGAAGAGAGCTTGGGAGTTGACCTCGGTACTAAAACCTCTAGTAGCCTTAAAGTAAAAAACATTCGGTCCTTAAAATGATTTACCCAAAATCCCCAAAAACAAATGAAATCCTAAAATCCCCAAAAATAAAACATTACCTAACGAAAATCACGCACT